CATGCAAGAACAAGCTCTGTGCCACATCCACAGCCCAATCAGTCACGCCCTCAGTCGCATTTTCAATACGATGCGCTAGCAGACACTCACTGGTGACCTTTGACCCCATAATTACGGAGCTGATTGGGTGCAGCTGTAGGTGTCTGGGACCCTATTCTACCCTTCGGTGCTGCCCTGAATGACAGCCCAGCCATGTTCTGGTCCTCACTCCCCCATGAATAAAATGTACTGAATTTTTTTTTTAGGTTTAGGTTTTTTTTTTTTTTACCTACCAGCTTTTTTGAGATCCACACATAAGTATACATAATTAGTCAATAATTAGGGAGCAGATTGGGAAGAAACACACTTTGAAAGAAAAGCATTAAAAAAGGATCATGTCATGCAAGACCCAAGCCCAGCCCATTACGAAAAAATGAATCTGTTTTATTTACGTTTTTATCTGTTTTGAATCATTTTAGCACATGGCGGCTGTCACATAGTGACAAGACGGGATGACCAGTCCCTTTGGCTAATGAGCAAGTCTGCACTAACGATGTGCCCTGAGCCACGAAACACTCCGTCTGCCATTAAACAGAATCAAATCTCAACTTAGGAGACGTCTTACAGATGCCATAGATTGGACACACTGCCACAGATGCGCTTTGATCTATCACACCCCCTCCAGCAGCCACCCTGTTCACTTGGACCAGGCCATGTAGACTTTTCAAGGGGTAAGAGACCCTGCAAGATGGTATGTACCATGATGTGGGAAAGGACGGGGGTGTAATATGTATGGTGTTAACTCATAACACTCTTTGGATTAAAATATCCTGCTTCTTTATTTGAGCTGATTGCATTAAAATGGCCGCCTCACCTACAGTTATTGATTAATATAATAAAGTCCCTTCACTTCCTTGTCTGGCTTTCTGAGACCTGTATCCTATGCCAGGATACACAGAGCACAAGGCCAAAGAAAATCCTAAGCCACAATGGTCCAAATAAGTGTAGGATAGCCCCTCCCACTCTCCTTATGAGTCATCAGCATCAGCAGGACTTCTCAAATATCGCACGTATAACAATGTTGTGCTTCATTTAAATTTCAGGAAAGTAATGTTGACTCCTAACAGCTATCTTTTGCACTGTTCATGTTATTTACTGAGTTGTTGTTTCCCAATTAAGTCTTCAAATGAAGCATCGGGAAAATCCAGAGTGCACAAATTAATTCCAGCGAGTTTATAAAAATGTCCAGCTAATTAAACAGCTGAGAGATTTAAGCCTTTAAGCCTGTACATTGATAACAGACCAAGTGTTACCACCACAAGCTGGGAGCATTTTGTAGGTTCCTGAAATTCTGTGTGCAAAGAAAATGATAAACTATCCTCAGATAGACTGGCTGGAAGCAGAACCGACATACACATAATTCAAATCTATATAAATCAAAATCCCAGAGTATTATAACTCATAGTCTCTTCCCTTTGAACTCGAAGTTTACATTTTCACTCAAGTACCCAGGCAGTTTTTAAGAATACCAGCACTGAAGAAAATGAGAAAAGATTTATCTTGCAATATTATGGATCTCCCATAATAATTAATAATGTATAATTAATATTTCACTAATGTTTTTGCAAAATTGATAAAATATATATCTATATGCATGTTAAAACTTTGACAATACAACTGGCTGGTTGGTGTCCTTTATCATTTCTGTCACGCCCGGCTCGTTCGATCCTCCTGTGCAACGCCCCCCTCGTTACCTCGTGTTAATTCCCGATCGTAATCACCTGTTACCTGTTATGTTCAGCCTGTCCTGTGTATTTAGTCCGCGTCTGAGTTAGTTTCCCCAGATCTGTCATTAATGTGCGTCGCTGTCTGTCCTTGTCACGGTAATAAACCCGCTTGCCTGTGGATTTTCGCCTTCCTGCCTCGTCTTTCCCCACGATCGTGACAATTTCTTTAATGCGCTTTATATTTATTAAGAAATAATAACAGTATTCTTTCAGACCATTGCAGACTATTATATGTGACAATTTTTGAGTTTTGTTTTTATATTTCCCGTTGATGAAAATATCTCTAACTGAAAATGCCAGGACAAGTTAAACGGTCAAAGCATTATAAACATTTATATGAAAGCGGAAAAAGTAGCGTTTGTTATAAAAGCTTGTTGGTAAGCCTGCTGCAGAAGAGTGGGTCCTAGTACGTTGTTTCCTAATCCGGTCCTTGGCGACCCACAGATGGTCCATGTTTTTGCTCCCTCCCAGCTGTGGGTAAAGGAGCAAGAATGTCGGCTGTCTGGGAGGGAGCACAAATGTGGTCCGCTGTGGGTCCAGCAGGACCTGGCTGGGACACAATGCCATAGTCCAGGGACAGATGCTTGCATGAAGGGATTGTAGCTGATGACTCAAACAGAAATCCAAACCTGAGCAACGATGTCTTGGGTTTTTGGGCCGATTTCGGCCGATCACTGGAATTGGAACCAACTGATCACTGATTACAGAGTGGGGAGGGGCGGGGGTGGGGGGGGGGTGGAGATCTTCTATTTAAAGCAGGGGTCTCCAACTCCGGTCCTGGAGAGCTACTAACCAGTAGGTTTTCTATCATACCCGGCTTCTGATGAGCCACACCACTTCTCAGGTAAATACCAGGAGCAGGTGTGGCTCATCAGAAGCCAGGTAGGATGGAAAACTTACTGGATAGTAGCTCCCCAGGACCGGAGTTGGAGACCCCTGATTTAAAGTGTAACTTCACCCCCAGCTCTGAGTCTTACTCCCCACACAGCATAATTTAAAAAAATGCTAAAAAGTGGGCAAAGAGCTGAGTTCTAGTGGTGATCAGTATCATTACAGAAATGGAAACAAAGTTGCTCAGTTGTCCAAGAAAAACAAAGAGGTGTCAGACGAGTTTAAAACGGCCAGTATTCCGAAAAGGAAATTGGCCTGCTGAGGAGCTCCAGTGCAGAACATTAAAGCAAAAATAAAAGGTGGAATGAGAGATAGTGGCAGAAACTTCTCCCTGCAGCTCGATGTTTGTTACGTAGGAGCAAAGCTCTGCAGACCTCTCTGCTCTCCGATGGACCTGACGTCCACAGCGCCACATACACGTCATCACGCGGCAGTAACCTGCGGACGAAACATGAACCAAGTCGCCAATCATAACAGCACCTTTTTCTGTTTATGTCGGGATGCAGACGAAACTGATCAGACAAATTAAGACCTTGTTCTATATCTTTCATTAGCAGTCATGTCTGCTTCTGAGGCCAGTTCACTGCGTGTGCAGAGCACGTGGACAAAACATGAACCTACAGCAGTGAAGTAGTCTGTAGGTCAGGTTAGGGAGCATGCACTGGCACTGCGCACCCACTGGCACTGCGCACCCACCACACAACCAAACAGCTCAGGATCCCGGTTGGCGACCCCCCAGGCCCAGATACGGTCCAGTTCTACCCTCCGAAAGTGGCCATCCATCTGCCGCAACCAGGTGTTCCTGGGCGTCCCCTCTGCCTGGTCCAGCCGCTTGGATCCTCAGCAGTGAGGATCCTGCGAGCCGGATCACTTTCAGGGAAACGCGCCACATGGCCGTAGTGCTGTAACTGACGCTCCCTCATAATGCAGGTAATGTGCCTCATTTGGGATTCCCTGAGCAACCGCTCATTCAACATAAAGTCAAACCAGCGGTACCCAAGGATTCTCCGAAGAGACACAGTACAGAAGGAGTCCAGTCTTCGTCTCAGCTCACTGGATAGCATCCATGTCTCACAGCCATACAGCAAGGCCCAAGAGGCTCCGGAGAGCCGGTGAGGTCAGTCCTGTGGGGGATGGGGACTGGTCTGGTGCTGAGGCGTCGCCCGCTGCACTTGTGTCCTAATCTGAGGCGGCCCATCTGGGTCGGTGCGTGGAACGTCTGCCTCTCCAGCCTTTAATGACCACAAAGTAGTCTGCAATCAAAACAGAATCATTTTATCATATGGATCAATTATTTTTTTAGTTATAAACAGCGCTAGTGTTCTATATGCATAATCACATTCCTCCTTATTTTCAGTGGTGGAATCTTTATTTTAAATGATTAAATTATCCTTACATTGCACCCTTTGGTAATGTGACTATTACATATTGCACATCCCCATGTACATCGCACATCATGCAATGCTAGTACAGTCATATCATTTAGCTTACGACTCAAAAAACACATTTAAGTGCACAGTTCCTTAAAGTGTTAAACCAGCCGCAAAATCAATATTTCAGCTTGGTCAAAATAAAGGCTGCAGATAGAGTGATTAAGATTAAAAATTGGTCGATTTAAATTGGATGCCGATCGATTGCAGCATCTCGTTGTCCTGGAGAAACACCGTAACAAGAAGTGCATACCAGTTAGGGTATCCAGGACTGAATGCTTCCATTCAGGGGAGGCCTGGCCGGGGTGAGCCAATCAGGGCAGCCAGGATAGAATGACCTTCCACTGCGGGGCACCCCAAAGAAACAATCCATCGAATCACAGGGTGGGAGTCTATGGCAGAAAGATCAGGGCACAAGGCAGGACACACCCAGGACGGGATGTCCAAGCAATGATGCATTTTGGGTAATTTTGAAACACCACTTGAAACTCATGACACAGAGATAACGCACAAACTGCCAACACAGGGACCGAAACGAAGACTGGACCCCCCCCCCCGAATGTGAGGCATCAATGTGGGCCGTCATGTTACCTCAAGAAAGGAGCAATCAGGTATGATTCATCAAATCACAAAAACCTGCATGTACTACGATACGCTTTAATCTTCATGAAGTCTTTCCATAAAACAACAGCTCTTCACAGGTAACTGTCTTTGCTGCAGCCTTTTCAGATTCTGCTAGAAAGATTCTATTAAAACGCAGAATTACTGGAAGCAGTCGAACCTTATTTTGTGTTAACAGGTATGGGTGATGACTGCTTGAGATAGCAAGTTATATATTAATATTTATATAATGCTCTAACAAAAAAGTGCCAACGGGAAAGGAAGATTAAATACCTGATCGCACTTCTGCTCATTTATACTGTCTTCTGTGCGGCGTGTCTGATCCCATCATGGTGCTGTAATGTGCGTGTGTGTATGCACGCCTGTCTTTGTTATTGTCGGGCTGGGAGGCTGCCTAGAATCTGGACCGGCGACGTGATCAGGGGTTTCTCACCACAGCCAGGCTGACGGTGTTAGTGAAGCGCGGCCACTCGTCTCACACAGACGGGACTCGCCGGCTTTTCACGGCGCGGTAATTGCTGACTAATTGCACAGCTGGTGTTCAGTGAGAAGACTTGGTTCTGCTTTCTACGTTGCACGAATGTAGATGTATGTACACATGTATGGAGATAGTAGTGTCCTATTCATCCACGCATTAAATTCTCCATGTTTTTTTTTTTTTTAATTTGTAAAAATAAAAGAGCAAATGAAAGAAGAAAATGAAGAAGAATATTTTTTTTCAGAGGCTAGTTTCTTTTGTTGTCAGTCACATAACGGCAAACTTCCACCTTGGACACGTGTGGTAAGTGGTCATTTCAGCATTAGCTGAAGCTCCTGAAGCTATATAAATATAGTATGATTCTTTCAGTTTACAATTATTATATAATTTTCAACATTTTGATAGAGATGAGAGGGCATAGAGAAAAATAGTCTGACTGAAATACTATTTCAAATTCCTCATTGAAATTGATGGAAATATAGTCCAGAGATTGTAATATAGAAGTGTATTACCTAGGATTTTGCTAACACTTTTGACACCTGAGGAATTTACCTGGGTAAGATCATTCAGTTATTTCATCCTCCACTACACTGTTGCTCAACAGGCTGATGCTTGTGGGTGAGTTTTATAGTTTAAAAAGGCGGTGCTCTGTTTAATTTCTGCTAAGATGATTACGCGTGTCAGTAACCTGCGGCGCTCCGTCAGCGCGCTGCCTCCTTATGTTACCTACCGACAGCTGCTGTGTTCTAAGCACAGATCTATGTTTGCTGTGCCGGGACGAAGGTTTAAGTAACAAATGCCCGTGTTATTGCTGACTGTCAAAAACTACCGCTACTTACTGCATTATTTATATTGCTGTTGGAACTTCAAGCCGAGACGCGCCTAATACTGCCTTCAGAATCATTTGCGTTGTCACTGCACATTATCGTAATTTGCCATATTGACAATAAAATGGAAAATACATTTTAAGTGACTGCTTACATGGGTGAACACCGTAATATTATTTTATGAGTCGTTATTTGTTTACTTTCGTAATCTCATCAGCACAGATCTTAATTCCAAAATCTCGGCATGTCTAATAGGATTTAGAACTGAGATAAGACACGTTTCACATAAATAAATATTATATTATGTATAAATATTAATATCTTTATGTTGGATAAATAATTAAATGCCTTATCTCGCTTGCCTTTTGAGGTCCTGGACCGTGTAGACTAATTAATCTTTAAAGTGCACGTATCATCTCCAGTCAGGCGAAGCAGGACCCGCAAAGGTGCGCTGTTCCAGCAACCACATTCCACCACTTATGCTGAAAAACGTGGAAGCAGGACGGCGTGCTGAGTTTTACTCAATGCGGGAGCAGAGACCATTTCCTCCACAGTCATTTTGCATCTCAGCTGGACGAAGGGCCACTTTATAGGCCGCGTCTTTCCACACTTGACGATGAACCAGTCAGTGGACCCTCTCCACACCTCCTCATTCTCGTGCAACATCAGCTCGATCTCCGAGCCCCACCTGTTCATCGGCGTCACCAAGAGCGAGCCCTACCACGTCACCATCCCCCTGACTGCCTTCTATGGCCTGCTCTTCGTCTTCGGGCTAACCTCCAATAGTGTGAGCTTTCTGACCCTCCTGACCAACGCCCGCATGAAGGCCAGTACCATCCGGCCCTACCTGCTGAGCCTGGTTGTCTCTGACATCCTCCAGCTGCTCACTGTGCCCGTCACGCTGTACCGATACTACTGGGAGAGCTACCCCTGGCGGCTGGGCGAGCCGCTGTGCAAAGTCTACTTCATGATCCGCCAGATGTACTGTGCCACCACCAGCTGGACCATCCTGGCGTTCACCGTGGAACGCTACGTGGCCATCTGCCACACCATGTGGTCCGTCTCCAGCCTGGAGAAGGCTCGTCTACCCTGCCTGCTGGCCGGCGTCTGGGTGCTCTCCCTGGCTTCCGCTGTGCCGTTCGCCCTGGTGTATGGGCTAGCCCCAGCTTGCATCTTGGATTACACCGCAACATCACCTTCAGAGGCCTTCATGCTGTCCTCCATGTGTGAAATGACAGAGGAGGAGCCGTCCCCCATATACCGGGCGGCACTCCTAATGAGGGCCATCCTCTGTTTCCTGGTGCCATTGGTGGCCATCGTCACCCTCTTCTTCCTCATGATCTCCCACCTCTTGCGCCACGGTCGGCAGAGAAAAGCCATGGGCCTCACCAGGACAGTGGTGGCAGCCAGGGGGCAACCTTCACCACGCCAGGGGAGGGGTAAACTCCTTTTCTACGAAAGACGGGCTCTACAGCTTATGGGTGAGTTACAAGCAAACCAAACTAAAATCTTTTTCACTTCAGGATTGCCATTTGGCCTGTGGATAGAAAAAAATTGATTTCGCAGAATACATATAGGAGCGCCCTGGTGGCACAGTGATTAGCACTGTTGCCTCATAGCTCTGGGACCCGGGTTTGAGTGTCTGCCATGGCCCCCTGTGTGTGGAGTTTCCATGTTCTCCCCATGTCATCGTGGGATTTCCTCCGGTTTCTCCCCACAGTCCAAAAACATGTCGAGGCTAATTGGAGTTACCAAATTGCCCGTAGATGTGAATAGCATGTGAGTAAATGGTGTGTGAGTGAATGGTGTGTGAGTGAATGGTGTGTGAGTGAATGGTGTGTGAGTGAATGGTGTGTGAGTGAATGGTGTGTGAGTGAATGGTGTGTGAGTAAATGGTGTGTGAGTAAATGGTGTGTGAGTGTGCCCTGCAATGGGTTGGCACCCCATCCTAAGTTATTCCCTGCCTTATGCCCAAAGGCTCTGTACCCCATGCAACCCTGAATAGAACAAGCAGTTACAGAAAATGGATGGATGGATGAAGAATAAATATATTTATTATTCAAGTAAAAGTCTGCACACCTAAGCACGTGTTAACACTTCCATTTAACAACCATTTAAGAAACGCAGGTAAACAAAGTTCTAAAACATAAATTTTGTCTCATGTTTTTTGGAGATTTAGTTCCAAGGGTCTAAGACTGGAAGCTTCTCTTCTTAAAAAGTCTCATAGTGAATGAATGCTCTCAGTGCATTTACCATAAGACTGTGAATGTCCTGAATGGTATTCTGGAAGACCTCTCTGTAGATCTCCCAGCAAGACGAATCACCCAGGCCAGCTGGCTGGAGACTGCTTACTCTGTGGGCCGCACGTTTTATCAAGTGATGCAACACATCTGAAGGAGAGAGCTGTTCACCCTTCTGTGCGGCAGTGAATGTGAAATGATGCGATAGATAGCAGTGTGCTCTCTAGAACTCCTGTCACCAGTCCATAGTATTTAAACCCAGATCCCAGTTCCTCGTTCTCACCTGTCAACTCTGATATCAGTTTTGTATAAATATATGCAGACCTTAGGCAGAGAGAGTAACTCATGTCTGGTCTACTATTCTGCGAAAGCACCGGTGTCTGTGGAATAGTATATTATTAGTACATTTTCACTTGTCAAATTAGTCAAACTTTTTAAAGTGTCCTGCGTATACTTTGGAAATGCATACATCAGAACTGATGTGTCATTCCAGATTGTGTCAAGAGCCAGCATATCTATGGAAGCATCTCTCCAGGTTCACCTGCTCTGTTTCTGCTGTGGCAGCATTCTGCTACAGGAACCTGCTGTGAGTCATGAATGAAGATCTCCCAACCAGCCAGTTCCAATTGATTTTCTTCCTGAAAACTCTTATAAACGCTGTGCCAGAAAGTAGTTACAATTTGTCTGAGTCACTAAACAAGAGTCAAAGTTTAGCGGAAACTGACTTATCAAAGTCTGATTGTGTGCTAATCTTGTCTTATTACTGTATGTGTGTGTGTTTTTTTTTTTTATTTCTGCAGGAGTGGTAGTTGTAGCCTTCTTTGTGTGCAACTTCCCCGACATGGCCTCGTCACTCATGCAGGTCTACGTCGAGGTGTGGTCTGACACCGTGCTGCGGGTCTACACTGCCCTCAAGTCCTACCTCTCGTTGCCTCTTTGGTATGTCAACAGTGCCCTGGACCCCATCCTATTCTGTATGTCCTCCGACACCTTCCGCAAGGCCTGCTGGAAGACCTTGGGGCCACTACAATCCCGTTGCCTGTGTCAGCGGCAAAAGGTACCTGCGGCCAGGAGCAAGAACAGGCTCACATCCACCAGGACCATGAGCTTCTCCAGGTGGGAGTCTGGAGAATGTGCTGGGCTCAAGCACCAACACGTGGATCCACAGCTGCTATCACTGCATAACTTACATTAAGGCGGGGGGTCTGGTTCCCTTTCTTGAAGAAACACTTGCTTGAGGAGTTTCTGTCCTGCTAATTTTGATAATTATGCTTGACTTCACTTGTAGCCCTTGGAGTTTGGATGATGTTGTGCTTGATTCACAATGAAGTACATCCCAGAACCCTAATTATCCAAGAAACTTTATCCGCTCAACAATTTGCTTGTTCAACAAATTTATCCAGTAATAGCACATTCATAACTCATTCACAACTAATGGATAGTTTAAAAATCTATTGTAGGTTAATCAGTTATTAAACATTAGAGTGGTTTATTTTTCTGTCGTTTCCACAGAATCATGGTTTGTCCTGAATATGTACTTTGTTCCAGTGCTTTTATCATCAAAAGGAAAATACTAATGTAATGTTAGAAACTTCGACTGTTCCTTGATGTCCTTTATATGCCATTTCCTTATTGAAAACGACATGTCTATTTACTACAATAATTTCTGGAAAAATATACCAAATGTATGAATATACCAAATGTTTGACTGTCTTCGTGAAGAAAATCATTTAAAGGAATAAACCACCATTATGGGATATAATCCCAACTAAATCTTATTGCGGTATGGCAGGAGTCAATATGCATTTTCAATATGCGTAAACCGTACATTACACTGCGTTATGTGTGGAGTAGGATTTTATATGCTGCCAAAAACTGGCATATTTATGTTGTCCATAGCGTGTTGGCATGAGTGATAGGCAACGCTGTATTTCCTGGCTTTACCCTGCATTGAAATCGCGGTTAGGGAAGATGGATAGATGAAAGGTTACAGGCCACATTTTTAAGTAGCCCTAAAAAAATAAGGTATCCATAGGAAAACGGAAATATATCAATGGTTTAAAGGTCACAGCACAGAGCAGTATAATTTGCTAAATTTTCCAACGTTCCTTTTAACGTAACTTTCCAAGTTTCATATTCAGGATTAAAAAATAACAATAGATTATCACGGTTCAAATCACCCTTCCGACTAGGAACAGGCTCGATAAAAATGCGCGACATATATAAAATATTTCTATCTATACGCCCCACCGCATATAACGCGTGTATTTTTTGGTAGATTGTCGCGCGGCGGATTCAAACAGACCAATCCGATGGTGGTTACTTAGCACCCGCGTGACCTCCGTCCAATGCACACACCCAGTTATGATCTCTGGCCAATCAGAGACAAAGTAGACGGGTGACGCACGCGGCAGCGGAGGATTCAAACAAGAAGATGGCAGCAGGGAAGGACGCCGACGGAAAGAAACGAAATAAAAGGTAATGGCAAATAAACGTGTGCTCGCCCTTTTGAGCACAATTGCGCTGCCAGTCATTAGACGCGTCAAAAACGGCGCGGCGTCGTTGAAGTGTATTTTTCCCTTGACAGACTATTTAAAAACACGTCTGCCGTTGTGGCAGCGCTCCTCCTGCTGTTACGTGCAGACGTGTTCCTTTGTTTCAAAGGCTGTCACTGGTTGATTCATTAGTTTTATTTTAAATTTTGCACCCGAATAACGACGGAGAAGCAATTTCTCATCCAGTCGTCAAAAAAAGCACTGACGTGGCTCCGATAGAGTAAGCGGAAGAAAAACACTTTACCGACTGACCAAGCTGGTCACGTGGTCTGCTGTTGACATGGTGTAATAGCCTGTTTTGGGCTTTTATTGCGTGCAGTGAAATACCATTAGATGTCCGTTTTGTAGTTGCCTTTGTTGTTTAGTGTAAATAGTTTCCCTCTACTGTATTTTCATTCTTCCAAGTTGAGATAATTTGTTTCGATGTAAGACTGTCTGTCATCCATGATCCTGTGTAATATCCACGACTGCACTGCAGGCAGGAATAGATGTCGACATACACATGGACACTGAAGCGTACAGGACTCATTTTCAAATAACGCAAGAATCGCACGTATTCGTTTTTTAGTCAGTTTATTGCATTTATGGATGAGCAAGAGGTTCCCCTCAAATGCATTAAGTGTTGCATAATTCGGAATCCGTGTTGCCATTAGCTCATTTTGAATCAAGCAGCGTTAGTAGAAATCCTAACCTAAGGGCATGTACTACAAACCTTGTACCATTCTTTTTATACGCATGTAAACAAAATGAATTTTACTACAGCAGCTATATTCCAAAGCTCAGCTTGTCACGTAAAGAACTGGTTTATGACTTGATTAGTTGTTGCTGAGGAAGGATTACGGGCATACTGGTTGCTCTCTTGAACCTAGACGTTGAAGAGTCTTGTGACAGATCTAGTGTCAAGAGAAAGTTGTCAAAATTGCATGTTTATCGTCAGATTCTGTGTTTTAGAATACAGTTCTGCTGATAAATGTTAAAGTCGTTATTAGGATATGGGTGTGTGTCAGATTTCACATGTCCATAGTGAACTTCGGGGTGGTCTGACGAGTTTTAAATGCTGTTTAAGCAGAAATTTATATTCTTTGCCACTTTACAAGATTGTAGTTGTACCACCCTTTTATCTGTTCATACATTGTCATTAACCACTAATCTGCTTCTTGTCATGTTATCTTAAATGTCTTAAGGGACGTACCGTGTGCAAAACAAATAAGAGCATGGAATTACAGTTTCAGCCTGAACAGAATGCTTTTGGGTCATGGGTATAACCCAGGCTACCTTTAGGCTGTCTACTGGAGCACATGTAGACCAAGGTCACTCCACATACAGTAAATACGTAACTCTATGAGATCCCCGGAGGTAGAAGGCACGACAGTGCCGTGCTTCTCATAATTGTTTCCTGTCACATATTAATTTCACCCTCTGTTTTGTTTTTGTTAATTATAAGCTTGATGAGGACAGTGACCTTCTCATGGAAGTCATTCTTTTATTATCTGAAGCACTTGCCAGTTGGTGGAATGAGCAAAGGAAGTTCAGCCACATTAAACACAGCTCAGGGATGATAATAGGCATTATTGTGAAGATGACGTTGCTGTTTTTGTCCTGACCTAGACGGCCTGATATGCACAGCATCCTCTCTCGTTGTTATTAAAGCCCTCTCAGTCTCAACCCCCCTCCCCCTTGTTGTAAGCCAAGTGTTTGGGTCACTACTTGAAGAACAGAGATTCTTAACTTTTTTCCTCATTCGTTGCCCTCTGTGTTTTTTAACAGTCACCCTCTGCCAAGAGTCTACTCTAATACTATAGGTAATATGCATGAAGCAGTGAAACCTATGGTGGCTGGTATTATTGTGCTGTCAGTTACTGTTTTAATCTGCTTGTCATTGGTTACTTTATTGTCATTCTTTGGATTAGACCGGGCAGTGATTGACAGCCGGCAGTGATCCCATCCTCTGTGGGATTTCTCCCATCGCCACTTTTGATGCATTTGTAGGCAGTTCCAGTACCTGATGGCTTCAGCACTGCTTGTTTCAGTTAGTCATTGGCTGGTTTCTCTGCTGAATCAATTATTGTCCAGACAACAGAATAACAAAAATCATGCAGCTCCTGGTTCACAGGTGGATAGGTACAATGTGGGACCTTTAGTTGTAAGCATTAATCCACACCTGATGTTCTGCGCTGGCATACTGCTTTTCATCTTTTACATGTTTAAAGGCTGAATGTTTTATGGAGGAATTTTTAACTTTTTTCTTAAGGTTTTACCAGAGCAGAGGTTCATCTGAACTTTGTGTCATCTGGTAACTGATGCAGCTTTTTGAGTTTGGTGGCTGAATCCTGGCTCTCCAGATCGTTATGAAATCTGTCCTATGCTGTACTCTTAAAGCATGCTAACTATACAGAAACATTCTCCATAAATATTGGAGCCTTTTTGAATAACAGCACCTGTAGAAAATACTTGATTTACATCTTTCTAGGTTAGTTTGTAATTTGTATTCCATGAAAGTGACAGTCAATTTGTCTCTGTGTGCTTTGAATATTTGCAGAGAAATGCCACAGTTCCATATCTATGTCAACAGCTTTTCTAAGAGCCCTGTAATATGTTGTAGGCTCTCTTAATAATGTCATTATATTTTAGGGAAGGTCAATTTTCTGCATGCACTTAAAATTAATTGTTTTTCATTTCGACTTGCTGCTGTTGTGTGGCTTTGTGCTTTCATACCAGTTTTGGAGGGTCTGCAGGTTCCCAGTCTGACCTTGTAAATGTTAGGAGAATAATTAATTCTAGTGAATGTGTTCCTCCTATTAGGTCCAGTATTATTAGTGGGTTATTGAGGTGAAGGACCAGCATGCCCAGTAGTGGAGGGGTGGCAGGGATCCACCCAGGGCAATTTCGAGGACCACCACCCCCCACCTCGTATTGTGACACCCCTGCTCCACCCTAGTGCAGCCCATTTCGACAACTGTTTATTACTTCAGATGCATGTATGAGTTGAACAGGTGAACGGTGACCTCAGAGCTGACCTCGTCCCATTTCCCAGAGGGACACTGTGCAACGTGGTCGTCAGCCAGGAGATGTGCCCGTCAGGCCACTCTCCTATCATCTTCAACCCGGATTTCTTTGTGGAGAAGCTCCGCCACATTCTCCCGGAGAGCTTCACCGAGCTGGTGCTGAGCAACATCACAAGGCTCATCGACCTGCCCGGTACAGAGTTTGCGCAGCTCCTGGGAGACGTGGACCACAAGCTGCCTGGTGCTGGTGGCTTCTTCCGCTCCTTCAACTTCCTGAAGCGCAAAGGTCAGTCAGCGGTTCGCCGTGGGAACTCTCAGGACTCTCCGAAGGGCCCCCCTGCCCCGGCACTCATGGGTGACGCAATGAGCTTATAATACAAATCTGGTTCCTCATTTTGTCTCACTGGGAAGGTCACCGGGTGTCGTTAAGGACTAAAGAAACATCTACCCTAGTGAAATGATTTATAATGTTCTTGTAGGTCAACAGAGAATACATTTACTGAATGAAAATGAATACCAAAGAATATATCCATAAAAGTGACTGGTTTTTCATCGTCTGAAAGTTTGTGCAGTGATGAAAGAGGTTTTAATCTGTCTTAATCCTCTATTGATAGAGGTAGTTGTATGGATACTGCAAGAAACTAACCCCCCTCTTTTAGGGTTTAGTCCTGGGGTCACCAGCTATTTTTGTCGGAGGGTCAGATTTTATCAAAAACACAAAGCCAAGGTTCTTTGTGTCTGAAAAAATTTCCTGACCCGGAGGTGTTCGATTGTATGGTGTTATGGACTCCATTTCATTTTGGTCAAGATGAGGACTGGAGTCTGCCAGTTGCTGCCAGCTCTTTTAGTGAATTCAATTTATGTTAACCAACCAAAAAACAACTTTTTTTATTTGACAGCAGTTGTTGATCAAATGAAGTATGGTCTGCTAATAAACCATGCTATTGTATCAAAGAAAGTTGGTCTTTATGTTCCAGAAATGGAGGGCAGGTTTTTACTTGATTCCGTCTCAGATGTAGCTCCCAGTGAGTCCAGGGAAATGCAGACGTTTTGGCGGTGATTCCCTGCCAGACATGGTGTGGCGGTGGCTATGCCCAGGAGTGATGGGGCCTGTCGGTGATGTTGAGGGCGCCGAATGTCCTAAGCGCAGAGGCCGATTCTGGGCAGCTTGTGCTGGGTATGTTACGTTCTGTGAGCTGTCTTGTGTCAGATCGACAGGTGTCCTTTTGCTTTTTTGTTAATCTGAAGGTTTACTGTTACTCTTTTTTCCTCTTTTGTATCTTCTATCGTGTCTCTAGCTGCCCAGCCTATTAATTTTTCTTATTCTTGAGCCAATTTCTGTAATATACTGGCTATAAGGGTGCTCCCTCCCTCTTGGCACTACTTCATAATATTCCTTACATTTCTAGAAGAATCATTAATTTCCAAGAAGGATGCCCACTCTTTTCTGAAGTATGTGTTGACATCAGTATCTTTAAGTGTATTGAAGCACTGTCCGCTTGCGCCTGGCCTTAAGTGGTTGTTGATAAAGCAAAAGCCGACTGGAACGTGGTCCGAGATGAGAATTGGCTGAATTGTGGCTTTGGGTACAACGGGTGAAACAGAGCTGGCTGTCAGAAAATAATGGATATGGGAGAATGATTGGTGGGTGTTGGAGGAGCATGTGTACTTGCTCGCTAAGAGGTTTGGCAGATGCTGAATATCTGCAAGGCTGAGGTCTGTAATATATTGTTTGTCTCATTGGAGTACCTTTTTGATCGATCCAGTGTTTGATCGATACCGGTGTTGAAATCTCCCCCAGTAATAGCAGTTGAAGTTGAATAATCAATTAGTAAAGAGATTAGACAAGACTATGAAATAAAGTTGAGTTGGCATCATTTGGACCATATAAATGGTCAATAATGAAATAGTTGGTGCAGCAACTTTCTGGCTCTGCTGTCTTGAGTTATATGAGGCTGAGTGTCTCATTAAATTTCAGGATCTTTGTTATGCTTTGTAATTTCAGTGAGATGGGTTTTTGGCAGTAAACATGTCTTTAATACTGAACTATGTAGCATGCTGCAGCGAATAAATGTTATGTATGACTGCCCGGCTTTTGCATTTATACTGAATATCAGCGGTTTAAGTACTGTTTATTACTGTCGTGTGTTTACCCTTTTTCAGAGAAGGGAGTTGTCTTCGGCGCACCATTGACTGAGGAAGGAATCGCTCAGATCTGCCAGCTCATCGAGTACCTGAGCAGAAGTGAGAGCTCCTGTCATGCTCTTCCTGTAGAACATGCTGCCAGACAGACTCTGTGTGCGGTCTTTAGTCCACGGTCTTTCTGTGTGTCGCTGGTCAGGTGGGCTTGACTGCTCCCAATTAAAATAGCGCAAATTCTTATACTTTTTGCCCATGATGTGCTTGTTTAGTATGATGCAGATTTCTGCTCACAGACACACAGACACTGGTTTAAGGCATGAAAATGTTTTGTATAACATTAAGTCCCATAGTTGCACTGCACCGGGTACTGTAGTTTTGGCACAAAAAAATTTGGTACTTTGCCTTTTCCTCTGATTTCCGGGCAGGTACAAGTACCAAACGAGCTGGGGTATTGTGGGGACTTCGGAACTTTGGGGCGGGACTTGCAAATGTTTTAATTGTCAGTTTGGTTATGCAGATAATCTGCCTCACACACATAAAATACATCTGCCATCCTGAAAAGGCATCTCAGAAAATAACGATAAACAAAGTGAGAAGTATATGTAAAAACCCCCAACACTAGAAGTACCATAGTTTTTGTACTTTTTTGAAATACTGAATGTATGGTACCTTGTGCCCTAATTCTTTAAAACAGGCTGTGCTTGCTGCAGTCTGTCAGCGCGGCATTAAAATGCCCATTACTGTCTCTGTGTCCGCGACTTGCTCAGATTTGCATGTAGAGGGACTGTTCAGAGTCCCGGGCAATAGCATCCGGCAGCAGGCCCTGCGGGAGATGCTGGACAGTGGGGTGGACATCGACCTGGAGACGGGTGACTACCACCCCAACGACGTGGCCAGCCTGCTGAAGAGCTTCCTGGGGGAGCTGCCTGAGCCTCTGCTCACGCACCGGCACTATCACGCCCACCTGAAGATAGCGGGTGAGTGGCCGAGCGGGCATGAGGACAGATGTGCATGGCTGCTGTTCGGGGGGCAGCAGAGCGCGGCGCCGGGACCCACAGCCTTCTAATCGCCCCCCACAGACCTGATGCTGTTTGATGAGCGCGGCAACAAGACGACGCTCCCCGACAAGGAGCGGCGCATCGAGGCCCTGCAGCTGCTGCTCCTGCTGCTGCCCCCCGCCAACCGCAGCCTGCTGAAGCTGCTGCTCGACCTGCTCTACCAGACGGCCCGGCAGCAGGACGCCAACAAGATGTCCGCCTTCAACCTGGCGCTGATGTTCGCGCCCCACGTCATGTGGCCCAAGAATGTAGGTGACCCACCAGGGCTCCCTCCTTCCCCTCCTCCTCCTGTCCTGCTTTTCTTTTCTCTTTTTTCTCTCCTCTTTATCTTCCCTCCTCCATCCTCTATTCTTCTCACCGCTTGTCCTCCTGTCCTGCTTTTCTTTTCTCTTTTGCTCCCCCCCCCTTCCCGGTTTTTCCGGGAATAACCTTCCTACTTTTTCCCACCTCATTCCTCTTCGCCTGTCTCGCTGCCCCTCCCGTGTGATCTGACTCACTCAGGGTCGGGGGCCACAGGGCCACTGCCCCCAGCTGAAAGCTGATTGGCCTTCATAGTGCCTCCTCACCTCTCACTCACCAGCTCATAACATCTCATTGGCAGATAAGGTTGCCCCTTCATATTCCCCCCCACCCTAAAAAAATTCTCGAATCACCCCTGAGCTAACTCGGTTCACAAAGCCTTTTATTACAGCCATGGTGTGTGCATTCGAGTAATTTTGCCTGTCAGGGACGCCTATTATGTGGCTCCCAAGTAATTATGTCACTAATAAAACCGCATCTGGCTTTTCAGGTGCTGATTAATCGCTAATTAAAATGTTTCCCAAAGCACACAGGAGTCCCAATCGCAAACCCCCGCTATACGGCATCTGTGGGATGTTTTCTTTCCCTGGGATTGCTTTAATTAACTCGTTCTTTGTTCTAGATGACTGCCACCGACCTGCAAGGAAACATCAAAAAGCTGAACGAGGGCATGGCGTTCCTCATCAAGCACTCGCAGAAACTCTTCCGAGTCAGTCTCGCCGTCTTTGTGATATGGCCGTTAGAGGAGAAGGCATTGCTGTATTCACTGCTGTATTCACTGGAGGTTCTTTTTGTACATGCAGTACCTGTCAAGAGTCTCCACTCACCTGCTTTTAATGTATTCCTCTATTTTAGTTGTTTCATTCACCTTGCAGTAAAAGACCTTGAGGCAATGAAGTTATATCCAATACTGCAACAGCCAAGAGAAGTGTTTCATATCTCAGAATTACACCTCTACTGAAAATCGTTTGCTTTTAACAATATAAAGACCCTAAGCACATCTCGAGGTTATGTAAGTACTGTATTATCTTGGGAACGAGGAAAGAGATGAGTGTTGTGACCGATGACTTGGCCCCCACAATCCCCCCCTGATTTAAACCCTATTGAGCAGATTTAGGATAGTTTGGATCGAAAAGTAACAGCAAGAGAACCAACTGGTGCCCAGAACTTGTGGAAATTCCTTCAGGACTGTTGGAGAAGCATTGCAGGTGGCTACGTGTGGAAGCTGGCTGGAAGAATGTCAAGAGTCTGCAACGCTGTCATAGAATCCAAAGGCGGCTTTTTCAGAGAGGCTAAAATTTGAGGAAATTTTGTGGAACACGTCACGTAGTAGTTGTAATATTAGAGTTTAAGTTTGTTGCCTCGAGGCCTTTTACTGTAAGGTGAATAACAGCTGAAATGGAGACAGAAGCATTAAAAGGTGTGTCCAGACTTTCGACTGGTACTGTGTATTGTATATTTTTGTAAAATAACAATAGAAGATGCCATTTTTGTGTTTCATGCCAGGTATTGGCCTCTGATTGGGTCATAAGATTTTTTTTTGTTTGTTTCTGGGATCCCATGCAAAAAGTCACTTTGGGTTCCCATAACATTCTATGGTCAACAGGGGGCCCCCCACACACGTGTAGTCTGAGGGGTGGTAAACACTGCAGCTGCCTGCAGGGGTTGCTTGGAGATGCGTGAAAGCCCCATGGATCTCACAGATTAGGACTGTTCATCCATAATGTCTCCGTCTCTACAGGCACCTGCCTACATCAGGGATCACGCAAGAAGGCAGCTTGTGGCATTGAAGATCCCCCAGTCCAAGGTAGTTATTCCTCCAGCGCTGTCCAGTGACACGCGTGTCGACCAGTGACGGAGCCCGGAACCCAGTGGATCCCTTTCCATGTATGTCCTCTGTGTCAGGATGACCTGGACCTGCCTGCCTCTACGAGCGCGACGCCCTCCAAGCGGCCCGGCCAGGACCCCGAGGCCAACCCACACACCGAGGAGGCGCTCAGGGAGCTCTTCCGCCACGTCAACAACTTGCCCGAGTCCGCCAAGAAGAAGAAGTACATCCGCCAGGTGACTTCCGAGTATACCCACACTGACCAGCAGGGGGCAGCCTGTACCAGCTCCTGATAGAGGGAGAAGTGCACTTTGCACAGAGCTGATCATGAGCCTGGTTGAGCTTCAGTGTGAGCTTCAGTGTGACCGAGATGGGTCAGTGCGTTAGCCCAAACGTCGTGCATTTCCTAACGTGCTAACTTCGCGGACAACATGCTCCACAAAGGGCAAGTTGAGGGAGGCGTAAAAAGAATTTCCCCATGAGGGACAATAAAGGATTGATTATTATTAACAGGGTGCACCTTGGTGGCTGAGTACTGGGGAGGGGTTTTTTGCTTTGGTAAGCCGGTAGTGATCGTCTGTTTTGTGGCTCCGCCCACCAATTTTTAGCTTGCGAAGGGGGTGACACCAGGGACGCCAGGATATGACTGCCAGACCCCCCCCACCGGCAAGAAGCACCCCCGCTCCCGGTCCTTCGGGGGACTGATCAAGGTGGGCCCCATGGTCGAGTTACCTACCCTGAGCGATTGCCGTTAATACCCTGCCGTGTAAATGGGGGCGTTAAGATCCGGATAAAGACACTGACAATAAAAGGTAATAATTATAATATGGTAGAATGGCCTTTTCAGCTGACGGCCTTCTGCCGTTTCCCTGAAGAAGGAGGCTCTTCACCTGTAATTATATTCGTCTCACTGAAAGAAGTTTGCGCTAAAATTAACCAGCCAAAGCATCAGCAGCGGTAACCGTTTAAACCGCCGTCCCGTGCCGCAGAAAAGAGTCCTGGGGAGCCAGGCAGCAGCAGAAAGGCGAGGCCGGGGGACGCCTCCACCTGCAGACGCCCCCACCGAGGGACACGGGAAGGAGAACCCCAGCCGGAACGCTGTAAGGAACCCGCCGCACTCCGTTCCGCATGCCGTTCTCCAGCTCCATGAGGAGCAGTGCACCCTGAATGAAAGCTGTTCATTCAGATGATCCCTGTCTGTTTGTTTTGCTACTAATCTGTACTTTACGTCTGATGTTGTTACTGTCTTGTTCCCTAGACACAGAGGGGCCATGATTCTGCAGTAGTGACAAACCCTGCCCTTTGTCCCAAGGCGGCTGTCGTCTGCTGGGACCAGGTACTGGCGCACTAAACAGAGGTGGCCACCAGGGGGACGTGGCGAGGGTGGGGGGGGTTAACGGCGTCTTTTGGTGGTCAGCTGCCCGTTGGACTTTTGTTTCTACAGTAATGCCGATCAGTTCCATTAGGGGACACTGTCTCACCAACAAGAAGCTGGTGGAAAAGGCACAGAGAGAATCGGCACGTGTAGCAGAAACGTGATCACTAATAAAAGTTAATGGCTTTGAGATTTTAGTAATTTTATATGTATGGTGCTTATATCAGCATTTATATGAATGTTTTTATATAGCTCTATGTAAGCATCTTAGCTGGGCCTAATAATTTCACTTTTATGTGTCGATTCCCCCCCCAGTGTAAAGTCTTTGAGGCTGGTTCACCATTACAGGCTTTGCACCCAGTACGGTTATGTTTAGCTGTTATCTAGAGGGCGCTGTGTGCCTGAATTCTTCTGTTTTTCAGGAATCTTCCATCCCCAGCGTGTGGTTTACACCCACACAGGAGTCCTCGGTGTAGAGGCAGGGATCATTTTACACTGGATCTCCAAGTGACGATTTTTATTTTATTGTATGTTTTTATGTTTTAATGTGATTTGTAAGTGCTGTGAGTGACCCCATCGTGAGGCAGCCGCTTCCTGCCGGCTTGTGCTCCCGTGTCCTTGCCGTGCGGCCCGTCAGACCCGGCGAGACCGCCGCGGGCCGCCTGTCTATTCCTGGGCCGGTCTCTGTCAGTAACGTGAGAGCTGCACATTGATCTGTTATGTTGTCGGAGCACAGCTGCGTTGTGACCGGCCCAGGCGGTCAGACACATAAACCGGGCCAGCGTGCGACGTCCATGCATCAAATGCAGACTGAAGCAGAAATGCTTAGGCAGATAAATGGGGGCTAAGGCTGGGATTGGGGGGGGTGGTATTTTTTCACAAAGAGCCATATCAATGTTAGCATTAATGTTATTATTGCACAACGACTGTGGTATATTCCAATCCCTCCTGAGGGACTGAATTATTTTTTATGAATGAATTTTTCTGAATTTCTTTTTGTTTACTGAATACATGCATCTGTGGTTGTCTGTTAATCCCAAGCATATGCCAGCATAAACATAATGTGACGATATTTATCTGGGGGACTTTATTCCACCATTATGTGGATATTTATTCACTCCTGTACCACTGTTTTTAAATGATAGTGGCTTAATAGCCTCCATATATGTAGACTCCACTGGATTTCAAGTTAATGGACATGCTTTCTCGTTACTAGGTTTACTTTTATCCTGGGATGAGCCTGAATTCCTCTGGGATGTTCCTTAAATTGATATTATGGGATGTTATTTTTTAAGTAGCTATTATGTCTACTCTTTTGGCGTCTGTCTTCCACTGTCTTAAAATGTTTCTATGTTTAACCTCATCAGTCTGGCCTCTAACCCTCCTCTGGGAGTGTTTTTTTTTTTTTTTACAATTTTATTTCCATAAGCTGTTTTTAATTGTTCAAGTAATTGTGTATACTGTGACGTATGGGCTGCCTGATGCTCTCAAGGTCAAAATAGTGGTTCCATTGGCTGTAAAGCTGACTGTTACCAGGGACGACCGCATCTATGAAATGGTGAGAATTCCCGCACAAGGACATCGTCTTTGTTTACTTTTTTTTTTTGTTGTTGTTGTACCAGTGAGTCTCAAGGTTGTGTTTCTCAAAATGTCTATAGAAAATAAAAATCTTTTTTTTTAATGTGTATGATGGGTTAGGTGAGGTTGTGGATGTTTTGGGAGGGGAAAGACTAGATGTTTTGGTGGTGGGAGAGTTGTTGAGAAGGTCAGTCTGAGTATGCAGAAAGGTTTTTTTTAAATGGGCTTGGTGACTGATGAAATGGAAGTTTGTTCTGCAAGTGATATTTGGTTTCTCTGAATCGATGGCGAGGCATGTCAGATGGGTTCCTTTTACAGGTCCGTGCAGGTGAAATGCTAATCTGCTTGTGTCTTGTACAGTCAATGGGAGTATTTTAATGTACATTTTCAATTCAAAATCTCCCCTATGCTGCAAGTCCATTTCCTTTTGTTTAGTGGATATTGTTTTAACTCTGATAAAAAATAATACTGTTAGAACTATTCTGCTTTTTGTTTTTGGTTAATTACTGGAAGAATTGTGTGTTACATATGGTTTGAAAATATACATGTTTTAAAAACGTAGTTAGTATAATTAATTATTAATGGTCAACTTTCCAAATCTGCATAAACCAGGATTTTAGCTCCAAGAATGGATTGTGAAAGTTATAAATACTGGTTGTAGGGTCATTTTTACATAATACAATAGCTACCTATTAGTTCTGGGGGAATCTTCAAGCAGGAGCCGTCAAACCTTGTTTCATGACAGTAATTCATCTGCAGTTTTTTTTCTCCTCCATGGTACTTTTCTCATTTAATTGTTTGTCGTATTCAAGAAAAGTCTGATTACTCCGGGGTGTTAAAGAGGCACCATGCTGTAAATATCACATGACGGCCTGTGAGGCGAGTGGAGCGTCTTTCACTTTAAATGATATAATGATTTAAATGTGTTGTCCTCCTAACTGAGATCCATCCTTTTAAGAGGGAAGTGTTTGTGCTTTGCTGTTACAAAACGTCAAAAGCTGTTACCTTAAAACCCCTGTGGATTTTATACACTGCTGATGCTATCCTGTGAGTCTTTTTTTTTTTTTTTCTTGACTGGATGTACAGTGAATAAAAAATTTATGGTGGCTTTTAAATGGTTTTTCCTGTTTTATTAATTACTCACCTCTGTTTTGTTTATGGATGTGTTTATATCCTACTCTGAAGTTTCCTGGTGATTAACCCTAACCTCGGAGATCTTTTCTTTCGTCAGCCTTTTGTCCAAACTGACACTTTATTCTTAATTGAAAGGTTGCCATAGAGATGAGACACTGGTAAAAGTTTGGTTCTGTTATTGTAATCATCTAAGAAATGAACGGGGCAAAACCACTCACATGCGTTACCAGGTACTTGGAATTAATTCCATTTCTGTTTACCTTCTGTAAAAACTCATACTCTGTCCACATGTGCTTTTTATATTTCTATGATATAATTTACAGTGTAGCATTATAAATATATTTTTTCATCTTGGATTAAACTTTATCTTTTGTTTTACTCTGCTCCATTTGTTTGTGTTGTAATTTAAAATCCATCTATCATACATTGTTTACCACATTGATGTTGTAGTTGAAGCGTCCAGCCACTAGATGGCGGTGTATCAAAGAAAACGGAAATTCTCTATATGTTATTTGGCTTTGATTTTGCATGTAGAGAACTAAGAAACTTTATACAACGTATTTTACTCCTATCCCTTATTCACCGGGCACTTTTTTTTTGGTTAATGTACCAAATATATTTTCTCTGATTTTTCCCAGAAAAAAAATCACATGGCATTTTCATCATGTAGGTTGAAGCTGAACAGCTTTAGAGATCGTTCTTTAAGGTCCATTAATTAGTTATTGTCAGGATGCACATTCTTTGAAAGTGATAACCGTTAGGAGTAGGGGGAGTTAAACCACTGTCCATTCTCGTAATTAGGCCTACTGCTAACTATGTTCCTTACTAATAGAGGATAATATAGGAAGCTGAAGCATTGTCCATGTATTTTGGGCAGTATTTCATCGGGGCACGTTTTCCTGGAGCCCCATTGTGACATGCCCCCCGTCTGGCCCGCGTCCGGCATGTAGCCTTTCATGCTAAGCGCGCCCCGAGGTGTCCCTGTGTATTTTTGTCTTGCTTTATATATACAATGTGCTTTACTTAAATGTTTGTGTGTTCCGTGAAGGTTGCAGATTCAGCTCTATCGCTGATCCCCTCCGATGCCAAAGGGTATTAATGTAACGTTCAACCTTCACTGTAGTTTTTACCAAAGGTTGCAGTCAAAGGTACAACAGAAACACCAGTAGGCAAGGGCTCTAAGATATGAAGCTGCCTTCCTAGGAGCTCGCCACTGGTCCACAATCCCTGGCCTGGACTAAGATTATTATTCTAGAGGATATTACGTTTAAAATGAAGCATGTGTGTGGAACGGGCTTTTGCTTAACTTCAGTAAATAGCTGTTTGAACGGTACAGTTCTCCAGCTTCCCGTAGCCTGGTGTCCCGCATGCTGAATGTCTCGGGCTTGATTGTATCCACAGGCTCCAGCCCAAAGGAAATGAAGCGTGGAAATGGGGCCGCTGTCCCCTTCGACACAGCGCCGGTTTCGATTTTGGGACCGCTGTACTGCCGGTGACCCGGGACGCCGAATGCAGACGTGCAGCTAATGACTGCAAAGATGCTGCCGGCTCAGGCAGATGTGAGCCAGCTGCTCTGGGTCTCTGCTGTGCGTCTGTGATGGGCTCGGCGACTGCGCTGTCTTTAAAAGGTATGGGGGCGTCCCTGTTGCGTGCTGACATTTAACGTTTTGCTCCCAGGGTTTCCCAGATGCGCTTTAATGCGTGTGACTCGTACATTAAAAAGTGCCCAAACCTACACAGCAGAACAAAACGAAGCTGCATATCTCATTAGGCGAAGCTCTGCTAAGTTGGTCAAACTGATGATATCCATCACGAAGGGAGCGTGCATGTCTCTATTTACTGAGCCAGTCTGGTGCTGCGCTCCATCGCCCTTCCTGCAAATCAACTGCAATGTCGAGGGCAGCCAGTTGTGGCATCAATATATATTTTTAACCAATAAATGCAGTCTGGTGAGAAAGTTGAGCTTCAGGATTGTAGCTATGTACAGCCACACAGTGCCACTGAACTCATTAGGCGAGGTAGGCGGCTGGGGTGCCGACTTAGCAAGCCATCGTCGCTTTCTTCTGGACGGGGGGGGCGCTACTAGGGCTTTGGACCAGTACCGGCTACACAGTACATCGTTCTCTTAACACGCGTCAAGCACTCATCACACGGTTCATTATCGCCTTGTGCCAGACATATTTCTAACACTGCGCTGCAGCGGTCTGCATGTTTGACTTGCGTTTCCTGCGAATCCATTTTCTCAAAGTGCGAGGCACAACCTTAAGCAATTACACCGATTTCCACGAGATGGAAACGCGCGACAAAGGATGAAATAACTTAGCTAATTATGGATAATTAAAGACAAATCTGTTTGCAGTTGTGCCAGGGGTGTGTCGGGCCCCAGGTGGCTGAGTGTACTGCCAGTCGAATGCTGGAGGGGAGGTGGTGGTGGTCGGGGGGGGGGGGGGTTGTTCTGACCATGCCTTTTGAATTTGAAGGGAGACACCAAAGCCGTTGCTTGTCTGAAGAGGCAGAACAAAGAGAGAGTCCCAGAGCACGTCTCCAGTGCTGTGCCTCCCCTGGTTCCTGACTCACAGCTGGTGCACCAGCCTGCCTGTTTCCTGGCCCTCTGCCCTTCCATGCAAACGGCAGGTAAATAAGCCGCCCCCGCCCCCCCACCGCCACTCAGTTGCCAGCCCTGGCCCAGAATGCCTCCTCATCACGCTTTTTGACCACCCTCTGTCATGCTCTGTGTGTTCTGGGCCCTCCCCACTTTAGAAATGTAGAATTTAAAGAATGAGGTCTGCTGTGGCTATAGGTCTGGCTCTCCCCTTTCACTGGCAGATTCTTTCCCCCCCCCCCATTAAAGCTGATTGTTTCCTGCCACTCCATTCGCTTGAGAAGGAGGTGGGGCAGGCAAGTTGTCCGACGCTGCCCCAAGCTACTAGAACACCCCCCCCCCCCCCCCCCCC